GGCATTGTTAACGTGCATGGCTCTGACTACTAATGTCCATATATGTTGTAACGAGGTGCAAGGGAGGCACTCGTAAAAAAATGCCTAATTTCAAAATTAGCTAGTGAATTTTTTACAGTGTACACTGTAAAAAATATTCACTAGCTAATTTTGAAATTAGGCATTATTTACGAGTGCCTCCCTTGCACCTCGTTACAACATATATGGACATTAGTAGTCAGAGCCATGCACGTTAACAATGCCGCTTGTGGAACAAATGCCTACGAGCGAGAACACGTAAACGTTACGTACCCGACATAGTTTGGCAATGGTAGGTATTTTCCCTGTGCATTGTGGGGGGGGGGGGAGGGTGGAGGTGGGGAGGGGGTGGTTGTGACAGCTAAACCAAGGGGAGGGGGGAGGTTGTGTGAAACCGCGCAATCGGTATCAAAATGGTTGGGTGCGACCCCATTCCCATTCCAACCAATTGGGGTATAAGCGGTCGCGTTCGATACAAGGCCTACAAAGCAACAAGGTCGCCACCCGGACCGGGGAGGGGGCGGGGCGGGGCGGGGAGAGGACAAGCGAACAAAGACTGCTGGAGGGGATGGGGAGGGTCGCACTGAGGAGCAACAAGAGGAACATTACCTATGTAAAAGATAAGGCATATACAGCATGAACCATCTACGTCCCATGATTCATGCCACCTATGGATAAGGCTATGAACCACAACAAAGATGGCCTTGAAGACGAATGACGAATGATCTAGCCAGTTAAAGCCAATGTTTAGCGGATGAAAAAAAAAAGAGTAGAAGTATGCGACACATCGTCACAAGATACTGATGCTACCTTTGTCAAGATGGTTCGATTTACGCATTTAGGGGAAGCGGGGGTAGCACCGCCATGTGGGAAACACCGCCATCCTCTCTATCGGCAAAACTCTGAATTGTAAATGTAAACACCCGCCATTTCGGTGTCCGAACGGAAACGGGACGCCGCGTGAGGTAGGTTTCGCTAAGATTTATTTGATTTTGAGATCGCAATTGCCCATTTTGTGAATTTCAAACCATCGTTGTAATCATTTGGCATGTTTTAGCAGCAAATAAGTGGTCATTTCAAGTCAAAATGCCTTGATTTTTGCGTTAAATTTGAGGGCATGAAGTGCTCTTCGTTGAGAAAGGAATTACAGAAGAATCGCGTCCCGGCTTGTTTTGCTGTCGGGGCGTTGTCGGGCCATGACTGTGTGTGGGGTAACACCGCCATGCTCGGCGGTGCTACCCCAAGGGGTGGCAAAACGAATAAAGCCGCAATGATGATTCACTCAGCTCGGAGAAGAGCTTTAGTTAGGCCGCAAACGTCGTCTGTTTTTTATCCCTCGCCGGCACAGGCCATTTTGAGTCCTTCGACGGCACAAGGGGGGGGGGGGTTGGTACGACCCCCCCCCTCGCGTTTGGCCCCTGATCGAGCTAGAGCTTCGCGGAAAAAACGAGCGTGTTGCCCGTCACGAAAGGAAGCCAATGATACCCAATTTTAAGGTCCTAGGTCATCGGGTGACCTTCCAGGTCAGGTCAATGACCCGAAAACCGGGAAAATCGGGACCTGTTAGAAAGTCGTAAAGTGTGGCTGCTATGTGGTTTTCCGGGGTGCTGATCACGAATATCGTGTTAGTTTTGATAAGAGATGATGTCTTTAAGCATTTAGACCAGGTGGGGTCAGGTCAGGTCAGGTCAACCGGTAGGGGTTGTGACGGGTATTCGTAATACGTGTCAACCGCCTCGGACAGCTTCGTAACATGTTACGAAGGCACCAAAACTACTTCGTAAATGTTCAAATGGTTGCTAAATTCGAATTCAGCTCCAAAAACTAGCCTAGAAACATGTAAAACTCGAAAAAGTGAACCGAGGTCACCCGAGGTCACCAAAGGTCAATGACCTGACCTGACCTTCAGGTGACCTTGACATCCACCCTAATGCATGGGAGCAACATCAAATCACATGTTTGAACGTTTGAAACCACGAAAAGCTTGCAAACGCGCGGCTAACGCGAGCCGACATGCGCCGAACCGCGATTTCGGCCAAACATGGTCACAGTAAAGAGGTCACAGGTCAAAGGTCATTAGGGTCAGGGTCACGAAATTTTCAGGGTAGGTGTAAAATTGATCAATGCGAGGGTACTGAAAGTTTCGTCGCGATCGGCCGCTTTTTACGCGAGTTATTCGCGAAAAACCTTAGGGGGGGTTGCATCAACCCCCCCCCCCCTGTGCCGGCGAGGGTTAACCTCACGTTTGACTTCACTGGATGTTTCGAAATAAACGTGAATTTGTCATGCTTTGTATGCATATTGTCCGCAACAAACAGTCTGATCTGTGACAAACTAACAACCAACTCTTGTGTGTCTTATATGAGTTTGAGTTACTATTTCAGACAGCAGTAACGCTTCCAAGGGTGGCTGTCACCGTAAGGCCGATCTGTGGATAACATCGCCATCAGTGGCGGTGCTACCCGCACATTTTTTGGAGGACGGAAAATGCAGGACTTGTTTTCAATGTCTGTAAAGTAGCGAAATTTTATAATGGAGCGCTGGAAACTATGCCAACATGTAGGAAAACATTCCTACTTTCACATGAATGCAAAAGAGCTTCGTTTTTACTACGCATATCAGCTCGGTGAGCAGAAATGCTTAAGGTGGCGGTGCTCCCCCCGCTTCCCCTAAGTTACTAAGGTGAGCTGAATCATACTCAGACTTGTCAGTCAAGTTCCCCATGTTACGTTTGCATGACGTCATATGCTAGGAATCCAGATCCTGGACAGCCCGAGTCAAGTGAAAGCAGCAGTCAGCATGTGCGCGGATATCGAACGTTTTCCACCATGAGGGAATGCATATGCCGTATATCTCATCCGATGGTGTCATGTGAACACATCACAGCGATCAACAAATGGGAGGAGCAGTCCAACAATTGCGTGATTAACTAACAGCTTTTACGGTTAATTAAAAAAAGCAAACACACACACATGGCTGAAGTCATGTGAACCACCTGGAATGTCAACATGTGAGTCAGGGAGGAGGGGTGGATCTTATACGTACCAAAGTCCTTGAGGCTGACGAAGACACCCAGCTTCTCAGCTCCCTTGTAGAGCGCGTCCATGGTGACATTCATCTCCTTTCCATCCGCATCTTTGACTCTGTCATTCTCCTCATCAAAATCGCCGATGCCGAGGTTGGGAACACATCGCCCCAGCACGGCAGCGCTACGGAAGGTATACGGCGCGCAGTCATCGGTGTCTCGAAGAAGACTTCTGCAGGAGCGACTGCGGTCCATCGGGTTCACCCCCGGCCGGCAGGTCAGGCTTCTGCGGGCAGCATCTGTGCAGAGACGCTCGTCCAGGCCGTAGGGGACGGCGAAGCGGTTCTCCTGAGGACATTGACTGACGCAGACCTGCGGAGTCGGACAGCCGGCGATGAGGACGATGGGCGAAGAACATTGTGTGAGGTCGAAGTACAGGAGAAACTTCTTATCAGCAACCTCTGGATCGCGGCCGCATTTACGTCCATCTGAATCAGTCGGGAAGGCGAGAATCTCCGGATCGCCGTAGTAGATAGCATAAGCCCCCACCCCAGCCCAGCCGAACATAAACACGAAGAACAGCAGCGCGCACAGAATGTCCGTGCAGGAGCGCTTATTGTTATGAACAGGCCCGTGGAAGTCGGGATCATAGCTCCGCGGCCGTCCGTACGGTCCCTTCTGGGCCGGCGACGCACTTTCTATTCCAGTCATGGCTGAGCCGGAGCACTAGATTAGATCACTATCAAACACATGGTGAGTGGAGTTCTTCGTGGCTGCTACGATCGCAGCCACTTCACTGCACTGTAGCACAGGCTACCACAACTCGCTAACAGGTCCTGACGCGCCAGCGCCCTCTGGTAAACAAAGCGGAGCGGGCGGACGGCGCAACGCCACGGCGGCGACGGCGTCCGAGCGCCGACTGAGTCTGCCCGGACGCTCATTGGCTGACTTTCAAGGTCACACGCCTCCCCGCCTCCCAGCTCACAGCGAGTGGTGCGGAGTCGCGGCTCACACTGAGCAAAGCACTGAGTTCGGGATTCGGCGCCACTCGTGGGATCGGGCTGCGATAGGAGAGAGCGGTCAGCAGGCGAAGAAAAGATGCTAAATCAGAGGCAAATCGATACGAGAGCTGTAAGCGTAACGGCAGAAAAGTATTAGCAGTGTTTTTATATACCTTGGTATTAGCTATAGCTTGCTGTCATAGGTGGGTTCAGGTACGCAGTCTCGGACGCTGCGGTCGCTGCGGAGGGGTCACATTCCCGTAAGTTTTCCAAATTCCGAAAACTCCTCGAATTTCGATTCCTTCCGTTTGAAACTGCTGAAAGTTTGCTTGAAGCTGCTATGCAGTTTCAAGCAAACCTTGCCTAATAATAGTTAATTTCTCTTTTCTATAAAACAACAAATTTTCGGGCGCTGCGAGGGGGCATTCACCTCAAATCACGGTCTAGATATAGGGCCTTACAAATGCCCCTGCATTCGCCAGTGCGTTAGGTAGGTACAGTTATAATTATTGTTTTCATATTACACAGAACGATGCATAATTAAGAATGATAACTCCATGCCTATCCAGCTGCCCCCCATAACAAACATCCGGGTTTTCCAGATGACCGAAAACTTATTATTTACGCACCATTTTTAAACTTTATAGGTAGGTAAAATAGAATAGTCATGCTAGAATATCAATGACCCCACTGTGGCACCGACACAGGGTATCATCCCTTTTCCTTTCACACACAAAAATAGCAGCTCCTGATATTCTATACCTAATGTTTAAAAATCCAACAGCATAGCCCTTTTATTCTGGGAACCAAAATATTGCAGTCCCGTACCATGCTCACTGCTGTCTACTAAGCTCCATCACCAAACAAAACCCCTCTCACATTTCACCTCCTTAAGCCTCGAGAAACCAGAGCCTTTACCCAATCACGGATAAACACTGACCAGACAACCAACAACATCCGCCGGATTGTTTATTTCCAATCACACTTCACAACTGCTAGCGTGGAGATCATGTTCTCCACAAAAGAGGCAGGCTATGGACGCAACATGTGCAGCCCGACATACACTTGTGATGGAAATAATCTGAAACAACTATTTTCAAGCATTCACGGGCACGGACAAGTCAACGCAAGGAGCCATCGTGAGTCTGGTCAAGTCTCAAGTGTGTAGAACATAGCTGCAAGTGTACAGATTAGTTTCAGTTGTGACATGATGACCAATTACATGAATATATATCTATTCAGATGTCGTGTTTAAATGCAATCAAAGATGGGATACAGCGGCCGATAATCTTGCGTCGAGCACGGAAGACACAAAAATAAGCTTCGATGACACTTGACATGAGTAGCGCTTAGACAAACTAAATGTCATCACCAGTGGCCCAAATTTCATCAGTCAAAACTATCAGTAAGTAATTACAACAAAAAAGCGACGTCAAGCTAACACGGCTCCTATTATTGCTAAATTGTGACAAAAGCATAGAGACGAGAGCGAATCACGTAAGAAGTCACAGACAACCGTAACTTACCAGCGGATTTAATACAAACATGGGACCTATTTCAGAAGACCCCAGGGTTCACCTGACATAAGACCTAAAACACTGACAAAATCGGACGGGTTCTTGAACAACAATCTGGTGATATGGCATGGTGGATTAGATCCACAGTGAAACGGCCAGGGCGGGTTTGCCACTAAAGAATCAGCCAGCTTCTGTCCACGTCCCGCACACTTCCACACAAACATCCGAAAGACCTCCGAAAGAACATGTGATCCACTGAAAGTTGGCAGGGTGTTCCAACAACATTGAGTGCAGTGCTGTTTCCTAAGCGGTCTTGTGACATTGTACCAGACCAAAGGCAGAATGTTGTATCTTTGCGGTGTTTGTGTTGTACACCAAAGGCAGGATGTTGTATTGTTGTACTGTTCGCCGATCTAGCAACTATCAGAGAAGCATCAGCCCAAAGTTAATATCAAGATATCCCTGAAAGTGATAAGATGAGGAGACGTCCCAGAAAGCAGAAATAGCGCTTATGATATTACTGGTTGGAGATAGTAAGCACTGGCCTGTTATAAACAGCATCGACAAAGCATTCACATGAGCCCGAGTGAATCTACTGACGGGTCTCCGCAAACTAGCGAACTAACGCCCCGCACAGTTCTACGTCGACATCTACATAGACAACGCTTGGAGGGCCAACGTCTTTTGATATCGGTGCAAACCTCACAACTAAGGCGGTCACTATCAATAGGACCTAGCTTGACCAGCACAGAGCCCCCTCGTCACTTCTCCGCCCGAGGCGCATGCCCAATGCCCATCATAACAGCCCACACCGATCCGGACAAGACAGTGCATGATACCTGGCAACAGTGCTCGTATCATCTAGCAACTGCTTCGCTTCGCTGCCAGTTGAAGTAGGTCGATGCAAGACCTAACTTTCCGTCCGTCCTGCCCACAATTGTGGCGCCACCTATAATCCCCTCGGCCAGAAATGCTGGCACGTGCGTTGTATGCCGAGAGGACCTTAGTTGCGGCGAACCTTGGGCGTGAAGAAAACGTCCCGAGTGAGCATGGAGCTGATGCAGGGAATCTGCTTCCTCTGGTGCATGCCCGGATCACCTGAAGGAGATGAGAGAGATCAGCCAGGTTTGTAAAACGATAAGCTAACAAGGTACACCAATGACCGACACTGAGCATTGAGCAATGCTTCATTGATTCAGTTCGATGTTATGCCATGAGTCGATATTCTAGTACGATAGAAATTCGAGGTGATATCTACATAGTAAACAATTGAAGCAGAAAATGGCTGCGTGTATTTGCGCCACCATTTGGTCTGAAACATTTGTTAAAACTTCGCAATTTGCGAGTGAAAAGCTACAGTAGCACAAAAAAAAGCAAGATAACGATACTTACCGAATTGAAACAACCTGAAGACATAAGATCAATATAACGGGTGGTCAGTATGAAACTGGACAAAAGTTGAATCGTTGCTGTGTTAAAAGTTCCCAAGCGAAAGCAACGAAAATCGCGTTACTGTGCCTTTCTTTTGTTGTGATCACGCTCGGCCTAGTGGATCTGCGACACTGGACCTCTGTCAGCCGCCAGGTGCACGCGCGTTGGCAGCCCCGCTATTATCTTTCGCGGCACCTCCGCGTCGATTTGACGGATGACCTGCTTGATTTTCCGCTTCAACTGCGCGACTCACCTGACCTGCCACCTTCCCTTATAAACGTACTGTTTGATAAGCCCCCACAGATCATCAATGAGCTAAATATGAGGGGTACATGGTGGGTTCATGTCACGTGCTAATACGGGCACCCCAGCCTCCTCAATAAGTTTCGTGGTCTAGCGCGCGTACTGTGACGGTTGCGAGGTCGGGACAAAACAGAACATAATGCTCCGGGTATTGAGACTCAATGAATGGCAGAAACACGATATTCAAACACTTTTCACTGTACAGTTCGCCCATTACATCGCCTGTAACTGGACGCGCGATCCCCCATCGGACTCTGGCAAGCCAGACGGGCATCTTGGGTGGATACTTGCTCCCAGGTCGAAAGAGGAGGTGAGATCCACATGTGGAAGATTGTCTCCACCAGCTGAGGTGTAAAAGTCGGCGTTGGAAAACATTTGGCTGCCACTGCAGGTGAAGTAAGAATCATCATCCATAATCACCTCTATGCTTTGGCTGCCCTTCATTGGATCCTGTGACAGACGGCGCAGACGGGTTTTCTGTACACGAATTAGTGCCTCCGTCGTCTGGGGAGCCTTTATCCTATTTTTGTACTTAAATTTCAAACTTTTGACACATTAAATGTACATATGTTTTGAAGATCCTTAAATTTCTCGCAAGAAATTACTGGGAGAACCCCAGCTGTCCGGTGGCGGAGCCGGTTTGTTCCTTCCGGAGCTGAATGGGCATTTCTGAGTGATTTTGCCGTTCCCACCATGCAAAACATCTGCAAGTCCTCAGAACTTATCGACGATCACATATTCTTTAGATATGGTGACACCGCACGGCGTAATGTGGCGCATAATGGTAACATTTTTGTAATTTGGGTTAGTTCCAAAAAATTGCGCGAAAAGGTGCCGGAACGCTTGCTGACTTAACGGCGCAATGCTTTACACTAGTTGCTAGCAGGAAGTTGAAATCTGAGCTGCTAATATAGAATAATTAGAAGTATTCACCTGCCAAAAATCATTAAAATCTGTCCATTATTGGTGATGTTATGCCTAGTCAAATTTTGTCCAGTTTCATACTGACCACCCGTTATTTAAAGGGAGGGAGGTAAAGTCACAAACTACTCATCAGTTCAATCAAACATGTCGACGGGAAAACTTGTCAAAGCCCAACCAATTCACCGATGCCTTTACCAAACGACGAATCTAGGCAATAAAAAATCGTGTTGAGACAGCCTCCGACGCTTTTTGCCCATCTCGTGTCCTCCTCAGACAAGAATTGGAACATAACCCCTCAGAACATCGGTAGCTGGGCGTGATTAGATGCTGAACTTTGTTCTGAAGACTCCTAGCCACCTTTCTGTCCCAGCCGATCAAAATGAAAGGGTTTACACCTATGGAGCCTACAGCAATAGAATTATCATAAAGCACACATCCTAAAGCCAAAGTACTGAGTTAATTTTCCAGCTCTTTCTCCGTGACCTCTGGAGTCTACCTCGCCAGGGCTATTTTGGCGAATTGTTTTACCCTTCACCAGAGAAGACCAAACGATTGGCTCAAACTCTATGTAACCCTTCCCCGGAACTCCACGGTCAACGCCATCTTACCGGGGCAGTTGGACTGGAAGTCGGTGGCCACCAGTCTGTTAACTCGCGTCATCACCGTCAGAAGATCCAGCTGCCGTCCGTACTTGCGCAGGCAGTGGACCAGCGCCTGCACGAACCACGAGCCCTGTGTGGTGTTACGCCAGCTGTAGTAGCCCGGCACGGTGGAGAAGCACAGGAGGAAGTCGGCGTGCGTGGGGATCTTGTAGGAGACCACGTCGCCGTCGGTGGCGGTGCGACGCGGCACCAGAGTGGTGCCGCCGTCTAGCTGGTCACCCTGACACGCCTGTGGGGGAGAGGGGTTGGTTAGTGAGCAGCTTCAGCCAAAGCGCTTGTTTTTTGTTGGGGGGGGGGGGGAGGGCTTTTGGCCTTTTGGGAGAGCCGGCTTCCAAGGTTATTTTGCGTCCATCCGCAAAAGTATGATGCATTGCATATGTTGACTAAAAGGACATACCGTCTATATACATGCACGTGCCTATTGTTCAGGGACTGGCAGGGCTCTCTGGTAACTCGCCAAAAAGCTAGAGCACGTATCGCTTGACGCTTTGACGCAGGCAGGTATACATACGCAAGCGTTTATCACACTTATCGGTGTTGATGCAAGCTTTTGTTGTACGTTGGATGTTGGTATCATGGTTATCATGAACGAGAATCCATAAAAAAGTTGCAAAGGTAGTAAAAGTCTCTCGACAAAATACACAATTAGAGCACGTCTGTCTAACTAAGCGCTCATTAACTAGCTTCAATTCTCTCTATAAAATGCACGCGCAGCATTTGTACCCAACTTGCCCCCAGCACCTCCCCAACCAACCTGAATGAAGAAAATCTTTGGCTTTCCGGCCAGCGACGGACACCTATCGGCCGTGAAGCGGGTCCAGAGGTGGTCCGACTTCAGGATCTCGTCGTAAGTGTACAGTACACCGGTATCACCATGAGAGAGGAACGAGATGACCAGACAGTCGGCGTCCGAGTGGTCGGCCGTGGACACTGAGGGCGAGAGAGATGAGGCGCGGGTTACGCCGTGATGTGGTGGGCAAGACGACACTGAAACATATGTAATAATGAATATGAACACTTTGTGTCATGTCACTAGATAAGTATCATCACTAAAACAGGAATTTCAGGATACTGATGTCATTCCAGCTTTTGTCATGACTCTCACCAACCATTACTAGAAAATGCATCACTAAATCCTATTGTTACATATTTCCTCTTTTTTTTGTTATCGATAGCTTATGACCAGAAACATCACCAGAAACCAGAAACCAGACCAGAAAACATCACGCCATAACCAATTTCTCTTTCATGCAGATTCCACTAGCTATAAATATTCCGCACAGCGACCCGTGACTGCAGGCCACATCGCAGTCTCCCAGCACCGACTCACATTTATCCAGCACAGCAAACAGCTCCGACTTTCGCAGATCATTGTGGACCTCAACATCAAAGTCCAGGTCCCTCAGGACCGCCTCCAGGGAGTCGCGATCCACGTCTGTGCCGTTTCTCATCTGTAGGAGAGCGGGGAGGGTGTCAGAGCGTGGTAGTGCATAATAGTGTCATGGGGCAATTAGCATGCATATTGGCGTGAGCTGCCATACCGTGATGGTGTCATTAATATGACGATATGTTCCGATATTCTTAGTCCAAGAGTTTACTGGCAAAAAAAGTAGTGTTGATGGCATATTATCAGTTATATGCCTTTACAAACAATGTAGCTCGAAAGAAATGAAAACAATAACCTATTACCATCAGGCAAGCAGAAGAATGTTGGTTGGAATATAAATGGATGGCGTATGAATATGAATATTGACATATGAATAAATGGTTGGTCTTCCCGCATGCGACAGTCGCATAAGATGGAGGCGCTGATGTTTTGACAGCATTCTTCATTACACTTGTCAAAGATGATAGGTCTGACACCTCGGGCACTTTGTTAGCTTAAAACTATTCTTATTACGCTGTCTTCTTTCTCCTCAGCTCATATGCAGCCTATTTTCTCAGAAACAGTTATTATGAGGTCCTAAGCTGATCTCCTTAGCCCAGCACATCAACAAGCAAAGACACCAACCCGATCTCACCTTCATCTGCTGGTCCGGATGGAAGTCGCGGTGGTTGAAGATGACGGCCCGGCCACGCCGCTTGTGGTTCATGTTGTACTCGAAGGAATCTTTGGCGGTGGGTGCAGTGGCCTGGACGATAGGCGTCGCCCGGCTGCAGGGAAGAGAATCGGTCAAAAGGTAAGCAGGTCTGGGGGAACAGTTGAACACTATCCGGGCGGAGGAGGGCAGCTTGGGTACAGTTTTACAATTTTACGAGCGAGTACTTAATTAAAATGAATATTTGGGCTGATATTATGTTCAAGTGAACTTCATAGCATATAATGTTTCCTCTCCGTTCAAAATGTCCTTCGAGAAATGCTGTAATAATTCAAAACACTTAAACACTATCCACTCCTGGGCATGACATAAAATTTGCAATACGCGGCATTTCAAGTCCCGTTTACTCGTTTTACTCCAAAGTCTTCCATGGTTTTAGTCTCTTCATACGATCCCTGAACCAAGTCCCCACCACTCACCCGAACCCGAACACTCCGGCATCTCCTGTGTCACCTCCCGCCGGCGGCACAGAGGCCGCGTCCACCGTCTCCATCTGACTGTCCACCGCGTCCACAGGGGCGTCCACAGGGGCGTCCACGGGCGCCGACATCACCGTCCCAGTACTTCAGAGGAGCAGTGTGGAAACCGTGTGGAACTGCCGTCCACTACAGTTCACGACTGGGTTTCTAAGCGAGGCTTCCACTAACGTCAACAGTGTAGTTAGACCTGTAAGAAGGAGATGAGGAGTTAGTGATATGCATATCATTTGGCAGCAATGTTAATTTGACAGAAACTACAGGTTATTAAGGATGAAGGCCCAGGAAGATAATGCTCTGGTTTTAAGGCCGGAACACAGCTTTTCAGCTCGCAAATCGCGTCTCGCTTCTCCCATTGCAATACATGGCATATTTTCAGCTCCCAACACGCAGGTCGTCTCGCTTTTACGCCGCGAAATCACGCCGGATCCCGCTCGTAAAACGCGAGCGAATCGCGAGCGAAACGCAAGCAAAATCAGTCCGGCGCGGGTTGCAAGCTGAAAAGTTGAATCTGTTTCAACTTTTCAGTTTCTCTGCTCGCGAAACGCAAGCGTAATAGCGTCAGTACTCAGTAACCATGGAAACCAAATAAAGCACCTTGGATTACGGCAATTTTAACTAAATACCGGCGTGGTCTCCTGCTTTCAGCACATCGGTATTCATTTGATTGACAATTTTAAACGTAAAATGTATTAAATTGTTTAGTTTTTATGTTTCGATGTTTAAAGAAATCTTAACACGTATCTTGTACTGCGGTCAACATAAAATGAGGAATCCGTGGAATTTTTTTTCAGAAACCTCCCCTTCGTAATTTTCTTCAAAATCAGTAAAACATAAATTTGATTAGAAAATGGTAACTTTTACTTCCGTTCGAAAAATTATATGCCTGGCATGTAAATTTCGGGCTGTAGACAAATTTTGACAGGTTGTGGTCCCATTGCTTAGATGTTGAGCGTTTTCAAGAGTAATTTCATCGATTTCCGTAAAACCACAACGACTTTGTAGACAAAACTTTTCAGAATGGCAATGCGGGGTAGTTTTGCCAGTGCTAGTGGAACAGCTTTGACGGTGCTCTCAGGATCGCTATGCTGGAACGGCCGACTTGATAAGCAGTAGCGGCGAAACACCTTCAATTAAGGGGGAGGGGCACTGCCCATTCTTTCCATGCAACACCCATAGGGCTTATGTTAAAATGGCAAAATCAAGGGGGCCGGTGCGGCCCCCCCCCCTCCGTTCCCGGTTCCGCCACCTATGTAATGATAAGGTCGTCGTACCGAGCTGGTTGGGTTTATAGCCGTTGGCGGTGGCATTGCGGCACAGTCTGTCTCCTAGGCGCTCATCAAGACACAGCTCAAAGCGGCACGACGAAGTTGCTAGGGATCTGCTCAAACCAAACTGATAGTCACATCTCCAGCTAGTAAACACTATTAACAACTCGTTTGCAGACATCGGAGGCCTATGAGATGTGAGGATTTGAGACTGAGCTAAGTAGTTTCTTTGATTGCTAAGAATTTTTTAATTGAAATTAGTCGATTATTTCCTTACTAGAATTAACAGTTAACGTTTTTCTCACCACAAATAAAATGCAAATGTTTGATTTAGCAGTGTATGCTAAGGAAGCGCATTTTCAGTTATGCAGGAAAATGCTGAAATAAGACCTGAGTCAAAATCATTCGAAGATAAGTCCGACACCGAGTCAGCCTAAAAATGCGTAAAGGACACATGTCATTGATGGCGCTGAAGCTGACTTGCCCGTAACATAAAATCCAGGCCTCAAATTAACACCGGCCAAATTGCTCTTCCCCACCGGCCAAATAACCTTGCTAGCGGGGTAATTTAGCCGCTTTGCAGACCTTTGTAGAACGACAAAATTTAAGCATAAGTAGTTGCTCTATCATTTTCAGCTTGCTGTATAAGAAAGTAAAATGAATGCTACACCTGCCAGCCTTGAGAGAGTGCAGAAGTATGTCGCCAGTTTCGAGCTACAGCGCTTCCTAAAAAGCGGCCAAATTACCCCATCCTCCCCTACCAAAAAAAACGAACCCGCTTCTTGGGCCACTTGACCTGCCTCAGAGGTCACCGGTTGTCTTGGGACCTTGAAATCGGGTACCAATCGCTGCGTCTCGTAATGGCGCACACGCTCGTTTTAGCAAAGATACTCTTGCGTTAACTTGACTTGGGGCCAGCCTTGTTTCGTAGGCTGAACCACAAATAGGGGCGTGGTAAGCTTCAAAAATATGTCAAGGCATTTTGGAAATAAGCTTAAAAAGACCCATAGCCAACGCAAGATATTGCAGGGTATTGGTCATTTGGGTCATGACATGACCTGAAGAACAATGTCATATATCCGAAACCAAAAACCACAGAAACTTGCAATTTTAATTGGACGGTGAGAAAGGATAGAGAAGCAGCTATGCGAAAAATCGGGTTCTAGCTTTTAAAATATTTAGTTCAGAGCAGTAAAAACTACCTGGGGGTGGTAACCACCGCCATGTGCGGGCGAGGGCTAAGTGGTTTCGTAGAAAACCGAAAGGAATTTCACCCAACTTCCAAATTATGCCGTGATTTAGCTACAATTCAATCCTGTTGTTGAATCTCCCACTTAATTTTCTATTCTGTAGGCATTTAACACTTTGCGTTTGTAAATTTATAGGCTGTTCTCCATTTTTGACAAAATAATGAAATATCATGAGCAACACGTTTACTCGAAAACAAGACTGCAATGCCATGTTAACCCTCGCCCGCACATGGGGTGGGGAGGAGGTGGTTGCCACCCTCCCCCCCCCCCCCAGGTAGTTTTTCTGCTCTGCACTCAACATTTTTAGAGCTAAAAGCCTGACTTTGTATAGCTGCTCCTCTATCCTTTCTTGATGTCCACTAAAAAATTGTAAGTTCCTGTGGTGTTTGGTTTCGGAGATATGACCTTGTTCTTCAGGTCATGTCATGACCCAAATGACAAATACTTAATATCTTGCGTTGGCTATGGGTCATGTGAGCTTTTGACACCTTGATTTTGGCCTGTTTTGCCAGTCTTACCTTCCACCTATCATGGAACATGTTGTTCGACGATGAACAGATGTCAAGGTCAGGGTCAAGGTCAACCTATGTCATTTAAAATCATTGCGATATAGGCAAGCTGAATTTACTTTTCGTGAAGTTTCTTTGACTGTATTTTTTGGTAAAACCTTCTCATTTCATGATCTCATTTAATATGGACACATAAACAATCGGTGCACACATCATTATACACACATACACTCACAGACATGCAAACACATATTATTGACCTTGACCTAACTTGACCTGAAAGGACCTCAGCAGCAAAAACCTGGTCGGATAGTGTGACAAAGAGGTTCTAACTGGCTTGGCACCACAAAACGGCATCGTCATCGGTACCTATATGATGAGCAGCGCACTTGATATCCAACGGTGACCCAAAACAGCAACATTTTTTTAGTTTGACCTGACCTGGAAGGTCAATGACTGACCTGAGAAGGTAAAACTGGGTATCATTGGATTTGTCTCTTCCCAAAGAATCTTTTTGGTCCCTACCACGAAGCTCTATCTCCAACAGGAACGAAATGGCGCGGGAGGATGGCACCCCCCCCCCCCCTCCATGTGCGTTCTAAGATGGGAAAATGGCATGTGCGGGCGAGGGTTAAGTATATCCTGTGATTTGCATAACGCAAAAGGAGAAATATGTAGTTTACTTACGGATGGTAATCGTTGGATTATTAGATTGAATGAATTGCTAGATGAGATTGAAAGATAACAGTTGTTAGATTTGCAAGAGCGGTGTTGTAGGTATTCGCTTGAAAAACTTCTGAACAACCGATTGTGACCATGGTACGTGGCAAACAAATACTGACTAAAATACTAACATTGACTGAACAAATTATAGTTAAGTTCCAATGTGGCATGATCAACTACCTGTGTGGCATGGCATCAACTGTTTTTAAGGAATTTCCTACAAAAGAAAGTAACTTTTAACCTGTGCTGGTTTTAATCAATGATCGAGGAGAAGGTTATTTAAAATATCAAAGCTAAAAAATTTTCATCGAAAGAACGCCGCATAAAATTTTGTCATGAAACAGACACATTGATATGCTAAGATGTCACGTGCAAAGGTCAAGTGCAATCAATAATCAACGCGTTTCAGCCGCGATTTGGAAGCGCAAAGCGTTTTCCAAGCGGGACGCGTTTTCGACGCGGGTTGTGAGCTGAATTGCAAGTGAAAACACAGCGGACGAAGCGATTTCCGCGCTTGACGCGAGTTCGACGCGATTTGCAAGCGAGTGCTGTGTTCCGGCCTTTAGCTTCTAGCACTGAGAGCCCTGATGGAGGCAAGACGCCTTGCGTCGCTTAGTCATTCCGTACGTGATGCATAATTCAAGTAAGTGTCTGAAGGTGAATTTAAGACACATTGTGGAAATGTCTCTCGCTATGAGTCATTTCTGGGCAGCACGGAAGCACCTACTAAACACACAAGCACACAATTAGCATCAGCAAACACCAGACCAATTAACAACGCCAAATGGCGGACTCTTCGCTTTATCGCTTAATTCACTTAGCAGGAGACACTTAAATCATCTTAATAGATATTCGAAGGCCTCGCTCAATATGTGTTAGTCACAACTAGAGTGACTCATAGTGACTCATGGATCGGAAAACATGTCTTGACCTGTTCAGGGGCAACGGTTGAACGAAAAGGTCAAATGTTAATTGCACCCAACAAAGACACAGTTTATCAGCAACGCTCAGCACCACTGCAGGGTATACCGGTGATAGCACACGTTCTTATCACTTTATCCCCGAACATTGCAGCGGATAAGGATGTGCGCTGTGAGTACGAACCCTTAGCGCTGATAGGCGTCTCGATAAGCAACTGAATATGGCCTCATCAAAATAGCAGCAGCGCCCTCCAACTCATAATGGGTAAAAATGTCTAAGTTCTACACGTATCATAGCTGATAGCACTTTTATTCGTCATTCGTTCAGAGGAGGCCATGTTTTATTTATATCCCTAACGTTGATTCATGATTGTATATACCATGCTTATGGTACCTAATAAGCAAATGCAGAATGTCCTTGAGCTAAGGCTACCTGAACCGAACAATGAATGGATTATTTGGATAGCCTCCACCTCAAAACAACAAGAGCAGCAAGAGCACGAGCTGCCGACATTAAAAT